ACGCGCGCGCTCATTGGTTAATTGGAGGTGAATATGGTACGATATTCACCTCTGAATCTAGGAATATTGAGTCGGCAACAATTTTTGCTACAATTTCCAATGAGGAAATTGAAAAAATGAAAGTAAATGCCATTCCTATCAATAAAGGCAACTTAAAAGGCAACTAAGTATGGTCTAAAAGTTTTGCTAAAAGTTTTTCGTCAATTTGTCACGCAAACTGCAAGTTTCTGTTTGTTTGTTTTTATTGAATTATTGTATATAAAAATAAGTTACTCTGCTCAGCATCATTAAGGCATGGCTCTCAGATGAAAAAATGATATACAACCACGAGGCGTAGCCGTAGCTTCCATCGTGTCTAGTCACAGTATATAGACACGCGCTCCGTTTTAGTAATATATACAGTATGAGTGGCCGTGTTGTATCAGATATACAACCACGAGTCGAAGACGAGTGATTGTATATCGGATACAACACGGACACGAATACTGTATATGACTTATCAAACTTCTAGGTTAGTTCCTTTGTGTTTCACTAAAATTTTCAAAATTAAAGTGAATCTGGCCAAGAAAATCCAACTTAAAGCTTATCTAAATGAACACAGTTTTGTATCAGATTTACAACACTCTTTCACGGTCGTAATTTCTGTTGCATTTTCTCATGAATTATTAATGAGTTTGATAACATTATTTATGCCCCATCTATTAGCAAATTGAATTGATGGTTTTTAGATGTGTTTCACATTAGATAAAGTTGTCAACTTTATATAAACAATAATAGACACCCTGACAGCTGTGATGTTTATAACGTTTCCAGTATTTGCTGCCTCGGCATTCTCGACTATAATCTCTTACTTAAGACAATACAATTCAAGACGGCCGCCGTATCAGTAAGGCGTAGGGCAAACGTCGATCTTTCCATGCACCCAACTCATCAAAAAYAATGGATATCAGGTGAAAATGCAGCGGCATTCTTTGATGTAATTAAGTTYGGTGCATGGAAAGTTCGACGTTTGCTCTAGGCCTAAAAGGTCTATTTTGCGCTATAGTTTATATGCATGAAAAATAAAAAGCTCGATGCTCGGAATTTACTGTAGAAACACAAGCTGTATTAAAAGACATGGTACTTTGATAACATTTTATTACCGACTTATATAATTRTCTCATGGCCAGAAATTGCGAATCACTGTGGAAGGAGCTTAATACTTCATCAAGTTACGAACGTCACTAATCACTATATTTTAATTTCTGTATTCTTATTGGCTCAATCAATTTGCTCAATTTGCATTGTTCGAAATGGCAAAAAGAAATGTGCGATGAACTGCGTGAACTGCGAATGACAACCAAGAGCTTCGAGATCTAGAACAATCGGACATTAAGAGTGGATGTCAGGAAAAATCAGACATTTTTGAAATTTCGTGGCAAGTGCGAAAAAATCGATTTGACTTATATTTTGAAGTGAGGTAGGCTATGATGTAATACAAACCCCTACACACTTAGTTTTTGAAAATATTGCTTTATTTCCAAGAAATTAAAATATTTCTTTCAGGGCGTCAATATGCTACTTATTGTTGAAATATAATTGAACATGTTATTCCGTGGCCTGGCTTATCTTTTTAATTTTAGGTACTCCCTTTTAGAGCTTTCTTTTTTTCCAGTACCCCCTTTTATATCTTAATTTTTTTGGGGGGGCTGTTTGTGACTGCTCCCTAATTATTTAAAGCAAAAAAAACTACCATCTTTTTGAGTTCCTGTGATTTTATTTGTAGTTCATTTGCTCATGATTACAACATGCTTACTTCGAAGTTAACACTCTGAAGACATTTAAGTTTTAATCTTTGAATTAATCACTATTCTATTGACCAATTTATCATTTTTTTGAACTACTGAGCTTTTAGTTAGCATCAGTTTATCTATGACCTGTTATTAAGTTCTTGGGAAACAACAAATATCCAAGCCAAGACTGCAA